GGAATGCCCTCCTGCCCCAGCTGTGGCCTGAGTGAGGATCAGCAGGCCCTGCCTCCTGCTGCCCACACAGGAACAGCCTCTCCGCCAGGCCAGCGCCATGGAGGAGGAGCTGGTTGGACCAGCTCTCCCAGGCCTGAGTGCAGGGCTCCCCTTCCACACAGAGAGCCACCTGCCCGGCTGGCCAGGCCGCCACCTCCCCTACTTCCTATCCCCACCAGGAGCTCCAAGCCAGCTCTGAGGCAGCAGATCTGGGCAGACCCTCCCCAGGAGAACCTCCTTGCCCAACCCCACCCTTAAAGGCCTGAGAGCTCACTGGGAACCCCACCTCAGCTGCCCCCCCGTGTTATACAGGAAACTAAGGCCAGGAGAGGGGCGAGTGCCAAAGGAGCAGGGTCAAACTAGGTCAAGGCTTGCAGATCCTACAGCTGAAAGGTGGAAGGTGGAGGTGAGGAAAGAGGAGGTGGAGGGAAAGAAGGTGAGGAGAAAGTGAGGGGAGGAAGTCTGGGAGCCAGGGAAGTCCTAGGAGCCGACTTCCTGGTAAAGAAGAGCAGGGCTGGCTTCGCCCACACTCCCTCGGGTCCCAGGGGGCGGGTGTTTGCAGCCCCCAGGCTCAGCCCCACCCAGAGCAAAGCTCCCCACCAAGCCAGGCCTGACCTCAGGGTCTAGGGGGCTGGGAGCCGGCCCCACGCCCTGTGGACCCCACGCCCTGTGGATGTTCTTCCTGAGTTACCAAGCAGCCCCAGGGAGGACCACACCTCTGCTGACATCTGCCCTCCCTGCTGTCCCAGGGCTCAGCCACCTGCCATGGGCCCCTGATGCACTCTCAGGCTAGCAAAGGGGCCAGGCTCAGGTAGGGGGTCGGATGGGCCATATGGGCAGTGCCCTAGACCCCAGCTCCCAGGCCCAGCCCGGTGCCCCGGGTGACCTAGGATGAGTCATTTCCCTGGCAGTTCCTTGACAGCCCCAGCGCAAATAGGCAGGGGCTCATCCTGTCCCTCCCCCATGGCGGTGGTGGTGGGGGCGTGAGAACTGAAAACATGGCTGGGCTTGGGAGGCAGCTGCTATGGATGTGTCCTTGAGCAGGAGGGACAGTCCCAGCTGGGCCGCAACTCCTGTGGAACCATCCTCCACAGACACTAGCTCCTTCATCTGCAAAATGGGGACAGAGACCCTCCCCCACACAGACAGGCCCCAAAGTGGCACAGGTGGGAGGGGAGCCTTCAGGCATGGGAAGAGGCCGGCTAGTGCTCTCCTAATCTGGGTCTGACTCCCACAGGCTCCTCTGGACAAGGCCTGGGGCCTGGTCATCTCTGTGTTCTCAGAACCCAGCCAGATACCCTGAAGGGGCTCTATGCATGATGGGTAAGTGACAGACTCAGAAAACGGACGAGCTAACGAGATGCCCATCGGCCACCCTGAGGACAGGGCCAGGCCTGTCCCTGATGACAACCCCCACACCTAGAACGGAGTCCACACAGTAGACACACAGCACACCT